ATTTAAATTGTCTTGGTCGGCGGTCATATCGCAAATCGTCTTGTTGCGCTTTGCGATAAGCTGTTCGGCTTTATCAAGTCGAATTCTGAGATCCGAAACTTGATTTTGCAGTTCAACTACTGTATCGGTAGCTTGCATTAACAGGCTGAACCGAGGCCCTTTCTCCCCTGTCGGCTGTAACGGCTGAATCGGCGGGATTTTTAGGATCGGCGTCAAATCCTTGCCCAAAGCCTTATCAATAAGGCTCGGACTGGAATGCGCCTTCGGTCTCAACGGTACCACCGTTGTCGGCTCATCCTCCTCGTCATCCGACGAGTCGGGCGGCTTATTTGATTCAGGATCGCTAGTATTAATTAGCGATACCGATGATAGCGTCGACGTAATCGATTCTGTCGCGCTATCGACTCTCTCTACGTTCGACTGGGTTTCTACCTCGATCATGGCCTCGTTTAGGTCCTTAGGGACCATTGGCGAGGCCGGCTGTTCTACCGACTCCGGTACTGGTAGATCGGCTAATGGTGCTCGTTTCGGCTTTCGTTTATTCGTTTGTAGTACCTGATGTACTACTTCATCGCCGCCGGCTACTATCTGTTTCGCTTTCCCGCGGGTAACATTGCGGGCAGCATTATCGTTTGTTTCGGTTTCTTTCGGCTGGTTTCGGATTATCCGATCGGCTGTTCGTAAAAGATTACTAGCGAACTGCTTTGCTTTGTTTACTGGCGTTCGCTCCATATCGGTGATTTTATCAAAAAATAATCGATAATTGATACGATTATATTCTAATAATGAATATGGTAGATCAAACGGCAACTCATTTTCAAATTCCCATAAATGGGTCGGCGTAAAATCGACTAAATCGCAAAATGACTTGCGGTTAAAATGAAAAGAAAATGATCGGTGAATTTCGGCAATTGTTATTACAATTGATAACTAGTAACGGTTTCAGCACTCCATACTCTATACTGATATAATCGGCTTCCCATAGATTCCAATACTTCGGTTATTGAAATGAATCAATAGCTGGATAACAATACAGAAGTATTCATTCGGTACGGGATAAATAAAATTTATCCCAATCGGTTTATGCTAAATCTATTCGGTGATTACTTCGAATCATCGCCGGTATTGCTAATTTAATTTAGCAATTAGATAAACGTTGTGTACTGTATTGTACGCAACTACACTTTCGGCTTTTCCGTGTTCGGCTAGAAGGCTGATGAACCCTCTCGCTATCTGACAAATCGGGCCTAGATGGCCCTTCGATTTTGAGATAAAAATCTGCAATGCAGATCCGACTAATTCAGCGAAAATACGGGCGGCATTCCCCCAATTTCTCACCGGAAATAATAATAATAATAATTTCGAAGATTCGGCTAGTGCTATACAAATCGTTTGGAATTATCGTTACAATTCCAACGGTTTATTTACGATAATACGGCAGTCGATTTCAGTAATTCACCGAAATTATTTTCGGAGATTAACTGAAATAATTTCGGTAGTGTTTAAAATTACGGTCGATAATTTGATTAAATTATAAGCGGTTTCCGACTTCCATCGCTGGGTCACCAGTAGAAGGTAAATTCCACAATTTTCCGGCTTATTTTAATTTTAGTATTTCTACTAAAATTAAACTGTAAACGATAAATTTAAACAACGATATTATGCGGCGATATCGAATGATAATTCGATTGAATTTCGACGGCAAAAACCTAGTATTTCTACCGTGTTTTTGGTGGTTTTCTTACGGCAGTTTCGTTTTGATTTTACGGCTTGTAATTCAAGTTATTACAACTAAAATTATTTCGACGATTCGAATTTAGTAATTCTACTAAAATAAGGTTCGGTGCAGCAATACCACAACGATATTATACGGCAATATCGAATGGTAATTCGATTAGATTTTAACGGTAAAAACCCGTTAATTTCGGCGGTTTTCTACGACAATCTCGAGGAAATTTCGGCTTGTAAATCTAGTTATTTTAACTAGAGTTAATTCGGCAATTTACGGCATAATTTTACGGTAAATATCAACGATTTCCGACGGTAATTGGTAGCAGCATACGTGCATGAAAGCACTAACACAGCTACAGTAAACGGCAGCGTAATACGGTAGCTTTGAGGAAGCTACCGTTCGACAGAATATCGGGTGACTCTAGAAAAACTTCCAGAGACTATCGGCAAAACATTCTAGAAGTATTCTAGAATTTATCGGCTGGTTGTTTGCTATTGCAAACACGGCTTACCTGCTGACTGCTGAACGGTGCGACGACGTGAGACGACGGCGCTGCTGGCTTGCTTCGGAGACTCGTTTCCGAATACAGGATCGTTTCTTCGCTCTCCGCTTGCTTGCAGGAGTATCCCCGTTGTGTGGGCTTGCTCCTGGGATAGAGGAGAGACGGTTATCGGCGAGTGGCGACGGGGGATCGTTGCAGGAACTCCGACGTGTCGGGTGGCTACGGTGGGTATCCCTCGTCGAAGCTGTACGGCGCTATTCCACACTTCGCTGTTGACGAGATGCAGAATCCGGTAGGCCAATACAGGAAATCTCGGCTGCGCGCGCAGTTTAATTCAAGCACAGTTTAAAGTGCGAGAAATCGGCTATTTAAGGCTCACGAGGCAAAGTGCCTGTTCGCCAATCGTCAAAACACTCTACTACAGGGATGCGGAAGATCGAACCCGCAAATCTCCACCATGTAAGCGTGGCGATAACGAAGCACAGATGTGCGAACGAAATGCGACCGCGCTACCAAAATGATCTTTATTAAAATGAACAATTTTAATAAAGGCTAAATGCCCGACAAATCTACATCGTCCGCAGGACGATCAGAAACCCAGAAAGGGAACAAGGAGGAAAACACTGTCGACTAGTCAGGATATTCCTGGCTAGGAGAAGGCAAAATCACGGAATGAGACTGTGCATTTTATGCACAGTCGGATATCGGAAAAACAGACCGGAGCGACGGTGCGGCATCCACGCAGCCCCACTATCCTGGGCGGTGGCACCGGCCTCCTAGCAGTACGGTAGTCAGTTACGGCAGGGTGTAAAATCTGGCACTGGCACCTGCCAATGGCACTGCCAGTGGCATGGCATGCGATAAAAACTGGAGACTCTGGCAACTGGCAAGCGGTAAAATCTGGCAGATGCCGCATGAAATTTGGCACTACGTATAAGCGGATTCGGAGCGTTTGGTCTACTGTATAATATGGTAGAAACGTTTACATACACGCACTTTTACATACGCACGGTAGCTACACAAACACAAACAGTTAGCCTTATCTTCTTGTTTCGCTAACTGATTATTTGGCCGTTGGATAATATTATATCGGCGAAAATAAACCATACGACAAAAGCAGCTGAACCCCAGCGCCGGTATATATATTTGTATTATAAATTTCTATCAACTGTGCGGTGTGCATACGTTAAACCCTGTTGCCGAGTTGCGTTGAAGAGTTACATCTGACTCTGATTGTTGCGCTAATTTTTGAGTACCTAACAATGCCAGCACTTGCTGTCAATGTTACCTTCGTGAAAATTGGACTCTTCTAAATTAAACTGGACAGGGAATTAGGAATTATAGGGTCACAGTGACGGGCTACGTAAAAAATTCATATCAGTCAGCATCTGCGTTCCCGGTGTTCGAGTATTCGACTACACTGCCAATTTGGGTAAGTAGTACATTAAGTAACTTAATTTGTTGTTCCACCTCTTTTTGCCTTACTTATTACTGACATATGGCAGTTTTTTATGTTGAAGCTTCTAAGAAGTCTGAAAACACTACACGGTGTATTTTTAATATGCGTATTACAGCAGCCTTATTAAAACAATCTGGTTGTTCACGGACTAATTTAAAAGGTCCTACTGTACGACCAATAGATGTTGTGCAGATTTGCTTGCAAATTTAGACAGGGAACGTGGTATTACTTGTGCACTATACCGGCAAGCATCAAGTGTACTGCAAAGACTACAATAATAACAAGTTTAATCGGGGTCATAGTGTAAAATAATTAAAATGAGTTAGCTAGAGTGGCAACGATGTTAGTCGCAGGCTCGCAGGGATGCAGAACACTAATAATGCGCGGTATTTACATGTACCAGTCAGTACCATGAGTGTGTTTTGCACGGTCCCAACTCATGCCAGTTGGAACATATTCTTCATTTGGTTGTAATTATTAAGCGAAGCTGGATTGTACGATATATTGCGAAATAAGCCTCTAACATTAACTAATATGATTTAACTAATAAAACCTTAACAACTAGCTATTTGTATTTCTATTATGAATAGTTTTGCACTACTTACACGCAATCATGCTGGTATGTGCTGTATCTGCTCACAGTATTAATTTCTATAATATGCCTTTACATTTTAAGTTAACGTGGAAAAAACAGAAACACATAGAAACGTCAGATCTACGAAGAATATAACATGCGCACCATAAAACCAAAAACGTTAAAACGTTCTGACATTAGGAGCGAGTGTTGGATGCTCTGATCCTACGAATACACTGTACTCGTACTCTCGTAGTCTAAAAGTATTGTTACCGAATACGAGTACTAAGCAACATTTCAAAGTTCTCCGTGGTAAGGTAACATTGCATACTTCTAAGCCTTTGATGACGTGTACTTTTTTTCAGTAGCACGATACAGTATGAGGATCTAATTACGGTGGCAACTTTGATTCTTTTTACTAAGTAGTTGCTACTGCAGTTACAGCTCCGCCGGTAAACATCATGCAGTTGCGATTGCGAAACCCTGTAGGCATGGTTTCTTAATTATTTCTGTATAGGGTAAAACCCAGGTTACAGCTTGCCTAAGCGGCCTGTTTGCTGAATCGCCTATCGTGCCAGAACCGTGCTTAAAATTCTACCATATTTAATTAACGGATTAAAGCGCCACGTTAAAATGCGTCTATTCCAGTTAAGTATATTGAAGCGTTCAGCGTAACATGTGTGGTTTTGATCAGTGTGGCTGACCACACTGATTACAAGTGTTGAGATGCTGCGGTAAACTGCCGAGTTGATGAAGATGAATTTTAATTGGGTTTTGGCCGGTCTTACGTGACGGCAATTAAATTGCTAATTATGTTGTTGATTACGGATTAAATTGTGAGCCAGTGACAGTGTGTGATTGTGTTTGTTGATGACCTTTCCCTAATCCGTGTATTACCACCAGCGTAGAAGAGTCGTGTTGGTCTCGTGGGCCGCTTGATAGGCATTCCACTTTGAGAGACTTGAGTGTCTTGTTGTATGGCGCTCCATGGGTTCCCGAAAGTCCCGCAAGCGTTCACCGTCGTCTTCGTCCTCGTCTTCTGAATCCTCTGGGACTTCAAATCCGCATCCTCCACCCCGTCCGCCTCTGAAAAAAGCCGAAGATATCCGTGCAGTTAAAGTCCAGGCTGCGCGCAAACCTGAACAGCAGAAGACATCCGCCGCGAAACCTGCTGCAAGCAAACCCAGCGTAATCAAGCCTGCTCAGCCTTCACTGGCGTCTGTCATCGTCCCGAAGACCGTGGAAAAGCCCTACAAAATCCCCAAGCTCCCTTTCAAGGAATCGGAGAAGCGATCTGCGTCAGTGGTTCCTGTGGAGAAGTCGGATAAGAAGAAGAAGACCGAAGAGTTCGCAGCCAGTTCCTCGTCATCGTCCTCCTCTACCCGCAAAGCAACAGGTACAGTGATTATACTACAGTAAATCACTGCTAATTTACCGTTAATTGTGTGACAACTTGTTGTCAAAATCTATAACTACCATAATTGTGGACGTATTGCACCCGTAAAATTTCCAGCATAATTTGATGTAGTAGCATATGACCAATAAATTATTCTCATAATTCATTTTCTTGTGACCTTAAATTTACGATTCTTAAAAGTGGCTTGTTTCTTGTGGAGATAACCACTTTCGTAAATTCGAAAGGTCATTTCCGTATTTGTCAGGTATTTCCCGGCTGCGTACCTGGATTCTGTCTGGGTCAAAGCCTTCGAACAATAACCTGTCACGAACAGGAAATTACCGTCTCGCGTTAATTAATTGGCGCATATCCCAATTGAGCTGTACAGTAATACAGCAAAGTTACGATTTGCGTTTCCATTGACTACAGTGTTACTACCGCATTCGCATACCAGCGCATTCGCATAATGATTATCATCAATTACCGCTAATTACCAAACGATGGCTACCAAAGCTGAAATTTTTGCACAGCTAAATGATACGCAAGATTCTCAGAGGCAGCTCAAGAAGCTATGTGAATTCTTGCGTATCCGACCTGGTAGTACCAAAGACCTGATGAAAAGCGATATTGCTGATCACCTGCTCGCTCAGAAAATTACCCTCGCAAGCGTTGTTGAACGCATGCCGAAAGATTGCAGAACCGTTGTCTGAAAGTTCCCGTAAGACTGCTGATACTGCGCCTAAATCTACCGAAGCAGCGAAAGCTCCCGAAGCTTCCCAGAAGCAACCGGTTAACACCGATGTTCGGTCCACTGCAGATCCGGACAATCGGACCGGTAGCAGCAAGGCTGCTGATTCTCGTACAGTTACCGATATAAGTACCGATACGAGTGCGAGTACTGAACGGAATCCCGCAAACGAAGATGTGGAAGTAATCAGTGATTCACCGAACCGAAAGTCCCGAACCGAATCAGAATACCGTACATTTTTAGGCACGCTTAACGATGATGAAAAGCGTGTGCTTGATAACATTCTCTTGATGCATGAAGAAACCGTCCGTCGAGATATCGAGAGCAAACGTAAACAGATGCTTGATCGCATCGATCATCTTGAGCGTGACCGTAATTCTGTATCAATTTTCCAGCTTGTCGAAGCTTTGTCGAAGATGAACCCTAATATCCCGTCATCTTCAAGTACCGTTGATTCTCATAAAGTTTCCGTAAAAGATTTCGGTATTCAGAAATTCGCGAACAAGTCCGAACTGATTATTACCGATTTCTTCCGGCAATATGATTGTGCTACCAACAGTCTTGGGTGGCCAACATCGAAGAAGATTCTCATGCTACCTGCATACCTCGAAGATTCCCCTCGCAAGTTCTTTGAGTCTATGTGGGAAACCAATCAGAATACCGACTACGATGGATGGAAGTCCATCTTTGTCAAGCGATATTTACCTGCTGATTATAAGCTCAATAAGCGAATTGAATTGTCCCAGAAAACTTTCCGACCTGGTCAGGATGTTGATACATTCTTTGACGAACTACAGGTCCTGTTCGATGAAGTAAACCCATTAATGTCCAAAGACGATAAGATCGCAGAAATTACCCGAGCATTCATAAATATACCAGAGTACCGCAAGCTACTGGCAGTTACAGATGCCAAGTCAGTTGACAAGATGCGATCAGTGCTGACCAAGATCGCTAATATCGATAAAACCGATACTCCCGTTGTTCAGAATGTTACCTGTGATAATGCTGAAGTTAATTTCATGAAGAATAATTCCCAGTCAAATTACCGTGGCAGAAGCCGTTCTCGAGATAATCGTGATCGAAACCGTGAACGTTCTGATAGTTCGAAGTACCGTGATTACAGACGTGATCGCAGTCGCAGTTATGACCGTAATTCCCGCAGTAATCGAACTTATGCCCGGCAGTTCCGCGATAATCTGTTCCGTGATCGCAGAGGTTCCCGTGACTATGACCGTAACCGTGACCGTTCTCGTGAGAGGTCCCGTGACCGGGACCGATCGCGAAGTTCGGATCATTACCCTACCCGTCGCATGTCTGATTCCCGTGAACGTCGTGATGCACCTGTGACTGAATGGAGATTCCCTCGAAATGAACTTGACTTCGAGAGCTACCGACTACGGTCTGGTAAGCTTTTCTGTCCCGTGTGTCTCGATTACCGTCATACGTTTAAGCAATGTACCAAAGCGAAACCACAGGACCTTGAGCACGTTGAGCCGAAGTGTCCTCGTGGTGTGCTCTACCGTGTTTAGAAAGAATACGAATGATTTCATCCGTGACAATTACACCCCTGATTTTTGGGAGTCCCGTGAGGGAAAAGCCTAATGCCACATCAGAAAGGAAGTCAATGTGGCAGATATTACCGAAAGCCTCCCTACCGTTATGACAAGTACCAACATTTCAAGTATGGTGGTCAGTTCCCTAACAGAAGTACCAATCATAACGTCGACGTGAACGATTTCTCAGTTAGATTTTCCGATAATTACGTGAATACCGTTAAAAGTGACCCTGCTAAATCCCCTTTCCGTACCTTTGGGATGCCTGATATTGTGAAACCAGTGTATGCACCAGCAACCATCAATAACCAAAAGGTCATCGTGTTAGTTGATACCGGTGCTAGCTGTTCAATTATCAGCGAACACAGCTTCGCGATTGCGTCTGCAATTCCAAAGGTGTGATTCCAAAGCTCCTAAATTGAAATTCACCACTATTTCCCAAAGCTTTCAGAAGGATGAAATGTACCAATCTGATATTACCGTTGAACTGAATGGCAGAACAATTACCCATAAAGTTTACATCATCTGTAACTCTCCGAGAGAATTTGTGATTCTTGGAAATGATTTCTGTAAAGCGTCTGGTGTATGGATACATCCTAAGACTGATCGCTTATGCTTCGAAGAAGACCTGAAACCTGAACCTTCTAGGAAGATTCAAATTAATAGTACGATCATTTCCGACTTGCAAGATTTGCACTACTCTCAGAAGAGTTTTGTACCTAATTATTTGCTGAGGCATGTGTACAGTACCACTAATAAAGCAGTGCTAAGTCCCATTCCTGAAAATGAAGTGCCTACAATAAATACCGCAGTTAGAGATGTATCGAGTGAAAACAAACCGGTGTCCGTGAAAGACTCTAATACTGATGCAGAACCGTCTGTTATCGCTTCGATAAACACTACAGTACCTACTGAAGAGATTGTCAGTAAACCTGAAGCCGTAGTCAATCATATTGGTCTTAAATGGGAGAAAACGAATATTCTTATTCAGAATACCATCGTAATTCCCAAGAAATCCGGAATTAAACTTATGATTGATTTACCTGACAATTACTGTGGTCCTGTCCTGTTAACTCCCAATAAAAAGCTAATGTTGAATCACCTGGTGTCTGTTGGCAATTGTCTCGCTACCTCTGTTGATGGAAAAGCTGAGATATTAATTACCAATTTCTCGCAACGTAAGGTCCGACTGAAGAAGAACGTTAACGTTGGTACCGTGTGCGAAAATTGATGATTTTGCCGATATTGAAGTGATAGAAGTGGAGTTTCATACTACCGTAACTACCACTGATAAAGACCCAAAGCCTAATTATTCAGACATTACCGATGAAGAATTTAAAGAACATATTACCAAGATGAAGTTCAATCCTAAATTACCGAATTCTGATCATCAAAAGTTAATTAACCTGTTTCTCAAGCATAAAACCGTGTTTCCTTCTAAATCCCGTAAACTTGGTGAATTTTCCGAGGTTGTCCATGAGATTGATACCGCGGAAAATAAACCGGTTAAGAAAACACCATGGCGAACTTCCTACGCTCAGAGAATGACCATTAATGAGCAAGTGGATGAAATGTTGCGTGATGGCATTATACGTGAGTCGAAGTCACCGTGGTCGTTTCCCGTGGTTTTGGTCAATAAGAAAGATCCTACTGACAAACCTCGCTTTTGCGTGGATTTCCGTGCGTTGAATAAACTTACCAATCGTCCGATGTGGCTGTTGCCACGAGCGGAAGACGCGATTAGCAGTTTTGGAAAGTCCCAGTTTTATACTTCACTTGACTTTAACAGTGGATTTTGGCAAATCCGTGTTAAAGATTCTGATATTCCCAAGTGCTCATTCGTAACCATGGATGGCCAATACGAATTCGCTCGTATGCCATTCGGTTTGAATGGAGCTACAGCTACCTTCCAGCGTGCAATCGATTCCATCCTACATCACCTTAAATGGAAAGGTGTAGTGTGTTACATTGATGATGTTCTTATCGGTGGCAATACCTTTGAAGAACATTTAAATTTACTCGATCAAGTTTTGACCGCTGTGGCGAAAGCTGGATTCACGATTAGTCCCAAGAAGTGTGAAATTGCTTTCAATCTCCTTGGGTTTATCCTGAGTAACGACGGAATCAAACCAGATCCGTCTACGGTTGAAGCAATTCAGAATTTTGCGATTCCCACAACGCCGAAAGAAATCAAATCCTTTATCGGCGCTTTAACTTATTACCGTGCTTTCATTAATAACTTCTCGACGATTGCATTTCCCTTGATTCAATTGACCAAGCAAAATGTTGCATTTCAATGGACAAAAGCATGTAATACCGCTTTTCAGAAGATGAAAGAATGCTTAATTACCGCTCCGATCTTAAAACCATTCGATCCCGCGCTAGAGACTCAGATTAAGACCGATGCCTCTGGCGTTGGTGTGGGCGTAATCGTTGAACAAATGCATCCTGATGGATGGCATGTTGTGGCATATGGTTCGAAGATGCTCGATAAGCACCAAAAGAACTACAGTACCACCGAAAAAGAATGTTATGCCATCGTATGGTCCGTTAAAAAGTATAAACATTACCTTTCCGGCAAGAAGTTTAAAATAACTACCGACCACAATGCCTTTAGGTACCTAATGCGTCTCAAAGAACCAAAAGGTCGTCTGAACCGATGGGCCTTATCCTTACAACAATATGACTTTGAGATTGAG